TATGTTTGTAAAACATGATACCAGTTGGAAATTTGGATCTGTATTTTCAAGTGGGCAAGAATTAGTCTTATAATTTAGGGTTCACAACTGAAACATGGGGTTCGTTTTCAGAAATCGAGGGGAATTTATTCAATGGAAGATACTGGTAAATCTCATTTAAAAGTGGATAACTGTTTTTTCCCAAAGTCAAAATGTCTACAAACACAAACCTTGATATCATAGTCTGCTGGGGGTGCTTAAAGGGAGTGCTTTCAGTACCCCTCCATGGTGAAACCACAGAATAAAAAGTAACTACCTGGATGCAGCAGGACAGGTTCTGTTCATTTATTCCGGCAAACTGGAAATGCTACTCGGATGAAACCGTAGCAGAAGTCAGACCACTGCAGTTTCCACTGTTGTTGTTGCTGTACTTTTTAGCTAAGGAACCATGGTTTGTTTTCTTCAATATTCCATACATGTCCAAAGCTTCCCCTGGAAGACATGAGAAGAACAATGACATCAAGGAACAGGTATGAACAAACAAATCAGGTAAAGCTGAAGTCCCTTTCCCAGTGAAGCTGTGCTTAACTCTAAATTTAGCTTTGGCCTTAAGGATCCAAGCCTTTGCTCCAACACTTCCCTATCTTCCTCCTTCAGTCTTTCATCATCTACTTGTAATCTCTATGACACTGCTGACTCCATATCATTACTAACACCAATAAGTCAATACACCCTATCATCCCAGTCCTTCTGTTTTAAGGCGTGCGATTGCACTCCCACGCCATCGCATGCCTAAAAGCTTCCTGAGAAGTGCAAATAATTGCACGCCTGGAACCATCCGTACCGTACTCTTCAGCATGAGTTTACTTTATAATTCTACTTCGCAATTTGTGAGAAAAATGAAACGAAAAGAATCAATCATTAGGCCTACCTAATAGTTTGTGACGACAGAATCATTTTTTATTCTCCCGGCGAAACAGTTGAGCGCAACAGCTCTGTCAGTGTACAATTGTTCAGCACACACACGTTGCACAGCGCTGCAGCAAGTGTTGCTGCATGCGTAATGCTACATACACCAGACTGTACAAGGCTTTACATGCATCTACACATCAAACGCAGAGCCATGAAATCACACCACTTGTCAGTCAAATTTTCCCAATGAATTCCCTGATTTATAATTCCCTGATTATTCGTTTTTCGTGCAGATATCTGTCCTGTAAGTTGTTCCGATCACAATGGCATTTTTCGAAAAGCAAAAATCAGGGTTTTTACTCGCATCTCTACGAAACAATCTCCAGAAGTCAACATTCTTTCACGATGCAGGCTCCCAAGCCCTACATATTGGACATATCTCTTCGAGGTTGCTTGAAGTAAGCCGGTGTGGTCTGAAATTATTGCACCATTTTTTTGTTGGTTTTGTTGATTGTTGATATGTAATGTTGACCTAATTTTATCTTTCTATTTTACTATGTCTTGATTGACCCAAGGTTTTGATTCATTTTTCAAAATCACACGCCTAGAAAAACTGCACACCTGGAAATGTCCAGGAGTGTTTTTTTTTCACACGCCTGCAATTTTCAAATCACAAAGACTATCATGCCCCCTAAAATATCCACTTTTCAAATCACTAACATACATATATGTAATCTGCAGGACTTCTTTGTAAAATTAGAAATAATTTCAAGCTTAAAAAAATGAAAAATATCACTATCCTTTTAAAAAGGGCATCAGTCATAATGGTGACCAATTAACCATGACTGGTCGATGTTACATGAATGATTTGCTCACTGACATTCACAGTCACAGTCCAAAAAAAATGATTTTTACGGAACAGTTTTCTTTTTCTGAAAAGCTTTAAAAATGTGTTCTTAAATACATCTACGTTCATTCTGAATCTTTATTGCCACACTACTTAAAGACATGATGACTGGATTCAAAGACTACTATCAAACATATGGTATTCCGTCTAACAATATCAATATAGAGACAAACCTGTAGGTATTCCGAAGCCACTCTTTAGACCGTAGGGATTGGACAGTGTCTAACAACATCAATATAGAGACAAACCTGTAGGTATTCCGAAGCCACTCTTTAGACCGTAGGGATTGGACGGTGTCTAACAACATCAATATAGAGACAAACCTGTAGGTATTCCGTAGCCACTCTTTAGACCGTAGGGATTGGACAGTGTCTAACAATATCAATATAGAGACAAACCTGTAGGTATTCCGTAGCCCCTCTTTAGACCATAGGGATTGGACGGTGTTTGGCAATCCATTGTCACTTCCTTGCGTAACACAGTGTCAACATCCACAGCACTGAAGAATGCTACAGACTGCATGCATGGGGAAAAAATCAATTTTATGTAACCACAAAATGTTCATCAAAAAAGAACAAAGTCGTTATTCTGACATCCAAATATGATCTTCTGACACAGCTGTAACGACTCGACTCAAGTGCAAACGGGTAAATGAGTTGACTAAAGTCACTGCAAGCAAATGACTTTATTTGAGACCTTCATCAGAAGACCACACTTGAATGAAAGTTAAGTTGGCTCCAGTCCCAAAGGTAAAAGCAAAGTTCTTTGTGAAACAAAATATTTGTAATGACTCACAGTGCCACTTTATTATGTTCATGTCATGTGTTTTTATCATTAAAGGCAAGATGAGGTGTGACTATCAAATGCCCTTTCCACTTGTTTTCATTATCTCAGGCTCTGTTCAAAGATTGGCTACTCAAATTGACTTGAGCTACATACCTGTTAAGTCAGACTTTTTGGCCTGACTCAACTTGAATCAAGTCACTAGCTACATGTACCCAACTTTGAGTCACAAACATCAGTACATGTAACTCATTACAATTCTGCCTTCTGAAAAGCACCTGTCAACAGCTGTCAAGTATATTTCTTATTTGTAAGCCTCTGTATCCACTTTGTTTATAAATGTAATTACAGTGGAACGCTGCTATAATGAACACTGCTATCCGACCCAAGCTTGAACAAAGAGGGCTGTTTTTAAATGAAATTGACAGTTTTTCAGTATGAGCTCACCAAATAGGCAAGCAAATTTATGAGCACACTGAGTATGCACAGCAAATTTATTCTGGAATGTATGGTCTCACGTACACGCCAAACGCGTGCAAGATCCAGGTTGGAAAACTTCCTACATGTTACCAGACTGTCTATCTTTCACTGGTGAGGGTGCACGTCAACTCGGGGCGGACACCTAACTACATCCACTGAACATCCCCCAATTGACCCCTTTTTTTTCTGTGCACTGTTAACAGTACAATTTTGCTTTCTATAATAGAAAGATATTTAGAACTGATAACTATTACTCAAAGTTGAGGAAAATTGCACTCACAATGGAACAATGGCGGCTGTGTAGGTCACCTGCCGAGTATAAGATGCAACTTTGCATGGTATACTAAACTGAGATTTAAAGTCCAAACAGTCACCAAAACTGAGAATATATACAAAGACGGACCCAAGCATCTATAGCTTCACTTGCAGAAATCTTCAATTGATATCTTGCCAGTTTCAATCATGTTTAAAATATTTGTCTGACATTTTGTCACTTTGGACATGTACCCCTGTACATTGTATGTACTTTTAGTTCTACTGTATAAGAATGGTTCCCTGTGCAGCCCATTTAAAAGTGCCATTTTACCAACAGGAACCAGTGCAACCCTTTCTACAATGTACAGGTTGCATGCAATTTTCAAGTGATCCAGGAAAACTTGATTTCATTTTGCAATTTAACTTCACCTGATAAGTGAAGCATGAGAAGAGATCAACCAACTTTTAACAAAAAGCAGGAATTTAAATGTTTTTTACTTCAAACTTTTATTTGGCATGTAAATGCAGGCTGTCACACATTTGAATGGGCCAGACTTTGGAATGGGTGTGTGTACCTGTGACTGAAACTTGCCATATCAAAGACCATTATACCACACAATTTGTGTGGACCCTGTTATCATGGTTATGTTCGTTATAGCGTTGTTCCATTGTATAGTCCACAAATAGATTCTTCCAACAAGAGGCATTTCAAACTACATGTATGCCTAGCTTTAAATGAAAGGTGTCTTTATGAAAGAAAAAGTTATTTTACATCCAAATTTTCAAAAACTTACAGCAGCTTAAATTGTAAGGAATTCACAAATGGTACAAATTTAAATAAAAAGTGTACAAATGACTGTATTTGTTAACACTTCAATACATTGAAGTGACAATCTAGATAATGACTCACCTGAGGCAGGTCATTCATGCCCACTTTGTAAGCAAACATACACCTCGTCAGCAGGTTGGTGATCTGCAATGCTAATGCTGCCCGATACCTATCTTCACTGGTGACCAGGTAACGTACTTCATCATGTATGCTGATACAGAACCGTCCATCAATGTTATATTGTTCAAACAGCCAACGCATGCAGACAAGCATAAGATGAAGGTAGTCTACTGCTGAGCTCTGCACAACCCAGTTAACACGGCTTGTCATAAACTGAATTTTCACACAAAGAAAAATACCTTGATTATTTGCTTACAGTTCCTACAGTCTCATCACTAGTTTACTCACAATCAATACCCCAGACTACCCCCACTTTTATCCCTGACAAGCTGATTAAGAAAAAAATATCAGATTTTTCAAAAACAGGGAATACAATTTGTAAAATTTACCTCACTGTTTACTCTTTTAGGCTCCAGTGCTGTGCTAATTGAAGATCTGAGTACAGGTGTCTTTGGGTGCTCCGATTGAGCAATGCTTTCAAGTTGATTGAACATAGCTGACTCACTGCAGACAGGAAAGCAAACAAAGTAATCCTCAGATAAGAAACAGCTCTATAAGTTCAGTATGTTTGCATCCAAATGCTGACTTTTAGACCACCACTCCCGTCTGGTAGGCACGGCATGTGCAGTGTTTTAAAACTCCCTTCCCATGTTACAAATTTGCTGTCCATATTTCTCTTCAACTCAAAGCAGATTGTCCACTCTGGCACCCTTTAATGTCATGGTCAACCTGCTCTAGTTGCATTTATTCACATCCAAAATGAAACTTCAATCCTCTGCTAACATTTAATGATGTTCCTGGAAATGCTTAACTAGTTTTGCACTGAGTTTTCTCTGAAATTGACAAAATGATAAATTTTGCAATGAAGTACAAGAGTACAAGGAAAAACAAACATTGATTTCATGACAATTTTAAAAGCACATTAAGTACAAGAAATATCTTACCTCAGCCTCCTTGCTATGTACAAAATGCATGCAATGTGAACAACCCTGAGTGTGCACATATTGTGAATGGCTTACTACCAATGTATTTCAAACTCCCTAAAGCCTCATTATTAGTTGAAATGGAAAAATAAATTACAGATAATTTTCAATTAAAGTTTACATTTTCTCGAAGCATGCTTACACAACTTGTCAGATATCAACAAATTTGCATACCTTCCTTTTGTCCATTTCTTGCCATCTGTCAGTAAATTTCTACAAATTAGACAAAAAAACGTTTTGAGATTTTTCATGGAAATTGAAACCTACAGCAGATAACAAGAGGCAAATGGTTAGATCAGGTAACAGACATTTAAGGCCACGTTCTAAGTTATCATTATCCTGTCATTATCCCTCCCTAGCCATGCCTTTTAGATCAAATAATGGGCATTTTTTAAACATAATAAGTAATTTTGAAAATTTCAAGATAGAGGCCTCACAAATTCATGCTCTATATTCAAAAGCTGATGACCCCCCCTCCCCCGAGTTGTCTTAAAACAGGTACCTCTTATCTGGTTTGATGTGTTTGCTGATTTGTCTGAATTTAGCCACAGATAAATAGTGGTCATCTCTTTTGTCAATAAGTCCATGTTTTAGAAGGAATTCAGCTGATTTTTCTTCAATGTGATACCTGCATGAAAGAACAAGGGAAAAACAAGGAGAACTAAATAGAATTGCAAAGTGAAAAGGTCAAAGTGAATTGCAAGAGAAAAGGGGAAAAACAAACAGCAGAACTCAAAAAAGTGCAGAAAAATGT